CCTGCATACAAAGGAATATAACTAGGTGACAACTTCACACTATTGCTTTATTTTCTTAATTCAACGTTCTAAAAACCTGAAGCCTAATTTAATAATTTTGTTATAAAAATGAGTTTTTGAAATAATTATTTATTTATTCTTAATGAGTTTATTGTATTCTATAAGAGGAGACCATATACTACTTATTTGTTATTAAAAATTGGGAAAAGAAATTTAATTTGGAAGAAAATATAAATATGTAAAGGTAAATTCGATGGTTAATTACGGCTTTCGGAACGTACACCAAGTGTCAAAATAAATGCTTTGGTGTTTTGTAAACAATAGGTTCAATTTTATTTTGTAGAATTAATAAGGTTATCTCCAATGAAAGCCAATGAGAAAATAATTAAAGTTATAATTTTTAGATAAACTAATGATTCTATTTTGTATCTTAGTGGTTGATAGACTGATAAATACGAGAGGAAGGTTGTCACCGGTTAAGGAATAATGAAATGAAATTAATAAAAACAATTTTGATGCCCTAATGGCTTTATCAGAAAAAAAATGGTAAGTTGACATCCTTAAAACAATGTTTAGAAATCACAATATATTTGAACATTACTAGAAAATACTAATAGAATGTTGTGAAAGTTAAAATAAAACAACATCAAATTTTCCAGTGTTACAATAGGTTTGGAAACTGAACCGATTTTAAAAGTTCTTTCACCTACGGGAACCTACATCAATTGGCGATGTTACAGACTATATTTTACGCGGTTAAAGTCGCGGAAAACAGCTAGTTTAAGCGGGAAATATTTACAATGCGTAGCTTAAATTTTAAAATAACCATTTCCTTGCAATATCAAAGGTCTCGAAAACAGAAATTGTAAAATTAAATTAACACCCTCTTGGTTACTAAAGTTGTAGTAGTAGGCACCTCAAGTCGTTAACTTCAATTCGGTCAATGCGCTAATTTGGTTTCCAGTAATTACTGCCTACCTACGACTGCCGTTTGAAATGGAAAAGCAACGTACACATGAATGGGAGTCTGCTAATTATTACCCATACGTTTATGTGAGATCGAATATAAAAATAATAGAGTATAAAGTATTTTTGTTTATTTCTAATAATAAAATTATGTAGGAGTTCATTTGTGGTAAAATATAAGTCCAACGCCCTTTATCTCCACATGTTAAACAATCAGTTTTTCTGGCGCGCTAATTATAAATTTTAATAATCTGTATGCTTAAACTACGTCTCATATTTGTGAGGACTTCTAATTGACTGTCTGCTTCATATTTTCAACATCATTTCTGTTTGTTAACTGTATATATCCTTATAAATGAGTTAACATTGAATCCAAGTCAGTTTAGTCTGGTTTCGATGGAAGTTTCATGGATCATCATCGTCTTTAAAATGTGTTTTTTGTTTATTTTATTTTTCATGTTTTTGAATTTTTTTGAAGACTTGGGAAAGCAAAATTCTAGACCTTTTGTTTTATTCCATATCATAATTAAGTATCTCGTATAAGTATTTTTTGCTACTAGAAGAATGCTTATAGTTATTTTGACACAAAAACAAAACTCATGATCCGATTGATATTTGTCCGTCGAATATAGAATCATTTTCGATATTGTAGCCGGTTAAAAATAAGTTTTAATGCTTTAATTTAACCCATCAATCCGCACTGAGCCCGCTATTATGAAACGTGGGATAACTGCCTACAGATTGTAAAGAGGATAAGTGTAAATAAATAATTGTCAAAAACGATAGATGGTACAGCAGTAATATTTAAAAAGTGTGTGAGCTGAGTAGTGAAATGTAATGAGTATCTTAGTGGTGAAGGTGGTCCTGTAAATTAGGCGTGGGTTCGCGGCGAAATTCGAAGAAGAAAAAGAAGAAATTCAGAAGTCCTAACGTCAGCTCAAGAAGACGGTAATGTCCTCCAGCTGTCGTGAGCGGCGTTGACGATTTGGTGCGTAGTCTTGAAGAGACGTAGAGTCTCACGGAGAAGGAGTAGTAAGTCCTTCGATAGCCCAAAACTGAGCAGCAGCACGGGCTTTCAGGTGTTCAGATGAAGATAGTCTCCAGTAGAGAAAGTTTCATGTTTAGATTGCAGGTGATGTAGAACTGAAGGTGGTAACTGTAGAGTAATTTAGTTGTCGAGTTTATGTATAAAGTTGGCAAATTGTCTTACGACTTTGAGACCGCAGCTTAGAGTTCCCGGGGCAGTCGGCCTTTTATGAATTTAGGTAGCTCAAGGTGAGCTCAAAAAGCTAGGTTAAGCAACTGTAGCCAAAGAAGTGATTCTAAAACTATACTTATGGCAGGTAAGGCGAGATGAGCTCAAATTTGGAAACGAACGATTTCAATTTAGAACCCTAAAACTTTAAAACCTATATAAGTTGAGTACCTAAAAATAACAAAATGTGAGTTAATTTTCATAAAGAGCATTAAATGTAACCAAGACAACGTAGAAATACCTTTATGTCAGTAATGTGATAATAATTAAAATTCGCGATAAATTGTGTAAAATTAGCTAAATAGAACATGTAATATTTATTAAATGAATATGTTAAAGTATTAAGAAAAACTATGAAAGCTATAGGTAAGAGTTTACATAAGTTCTTCTACAATAGTCAAAAACATATAGATTAAAGTTCGTAGAAGTTTGGATACATGTAATTAAAAACATTTATATTTCTAGCATTTATAGCTCTATAGCTATAAATGCTAGAAATATAAATGTTTTTAATCTATTCTATAATAGACAGGGTGAAGAATTTAAATGTAATAAAATCCAAAGCTAAACGATATGAATAAATTTGACGAGCAAGCATCCAGAGAAGTAATAAGATGAAAGTTTATTTACGACACCGCGTCATGGTCTTAGGCCCATTCTTCTGTTTATTTGATTTGATTAAATTCCATTTATAGGGAAGGCCTAAGCCTATGCAGTGGGGACGTCAATAAGCTGCTGATTATTGACGCTATGATCACGCAATGATTATCAACTATTCTTACATAATCGTTTTGTTTTTTTCGTAAAGCTTTTAACTAGTTAGTACTCGGTGTACCCCTAAAGGAAATTGACAATGAAAGAAGAGAAAACGTCAAATTGAGATATGATGACTTATTTTGTTAGAGGATAATGGTTTGAATTCGGCACCAAAGATAAATCTTATTTAAATATAAGGTGTTATAATAATTTTACGATTTGCAAGCTTTGCAGAACTAATTGAATTCAGCAATCACCTACAATCTTAAGTTCATGTCCCAGTCGTAATCGTTCGCCTCAATCGTCATTATTTGATATTTAATTTTTAAATTATCTTTTATCACTTTTACTTTTCATATATTAGCTCAACATAAAACACGTCATTATTGCGTTTTAAAACGGCGTAAAATTTATTGTGGTAGTGTTACATTACAATACAACCACAAAAGGCGCGAAGAAATAAAATAAGTTATCTCCATATTAGATACATAAAGCATACCTCTTGTTAGAACGAGATAAACATACTCGTTTAGCTTTTCGCGTCAACTCCAATCTCCCCTAGCCGTAGCACGAAAAAATGGCCGCATTCTGTAACTTTAATATTATTTATAAACGCAGGAAGGCATTTTTCTACAACTTTTCACAGAAAATTATGAGTGCAATTGACATTAGCCACAACGCTGAAACATGTCAACTCACACAATTGCCTTGTTTTCTTGTTGTCAATGTTTTCTTGTTGTCAATGTTTGCCATACTTTTTTACCCTCTTATAGGTTGATTTTTCAGAAAACCTGAAATACGTTATTCTTCATTTATAATTTTCTAAAATAATTTTAAATGTTAGTGGGAAGAAAAATGGAAAATTTTAAATTTCTTATCCTTGTAGTTTGGACTATGCGTTGATATGGCAGATAAGCAATAGCCAATCTAGTGTTGTTTTATACTTAAAATGGATAGAAAGAAAATTGTTAAACAAAACAGTCAATTTCTGCATTCTACGAGTATTTATTTTTACTGGTAGTAAATGTTTTTAAAGCAGCAGTAAACGAATTTTATTAATGAAATGAAAAGCTTATCGACTATCCCTAAATTTTACGAATTGACGACTAGTCTAGCCTAGATGCAGTCTAGCTTAAACTAGTCTAGCTTAAATATATTTATTGTTCTTTGGCTGCAGTGATAAGTCTCAATAACCAAATACTTTGCATATGTTTTCTATATTTGAGTATGTATTTATTTTGACTATATGTATAGCATTTTTATTAGCTATTTGTTTTTTATTTTTTATTTTCAGGAAGGGGAGAAGAGGGACAGAAACACAATTACACATAAATGTATTATATATATTTGGACGTACATATTATTATTAGACATTTGATATCTATCTTTACCAACTTAGATTGCAATTATGGCCATTGTCTATTTCGTATGACTGTTCATGTATTGCCGATCTTTAATGAGTTATTTTCGCTCGTTGGAAGCATCCGCAACAAGTAAGGGTGTTCCATTTGGTAGATAGACGAAAGATACTAAACGAGACAGTTTTTAAAAGTATTTTATCTCATATATTTTCTTTTGCTAACATTTAAGGGATCTAAAGAGGTTTCCCACGAGTAAAGTTTTTCACTAAGTATACTTTATTTGATTTTAAATAAGAAAATTCAATATCAGTTCTGTATTTTTTATGTTAAATTAATTTTCTGACGTTGTGTAAGAGTTTTCCTCATTATATTTTTTATAAAACTCTTTTCCATTATTTCCTATTATTTATATAAATCTGATAACACTGGGAACGTGTCTTAGCTGGGCCAGGGAGCAGGGTGACAATATTTTCTAATACCTATCTAGTTTGCAAGCACGCGATATTTTCTAGAAAAGTATGATATGTGAAAATGAATAGGTTAGAATATGCTTCGTTGTAAATGATCCGTCGGCGTGAACCTAGGGCAAGGAGAGCACACCTGGTGGAATGAGAGGGCTGCGAGGAAAGCCACCCTTGCTGAAGGTAGCGTCGACGCGAGCTAGTCGTTCGCGCGCCGCGCGATGGCATGGACGCTCAATCATAGCGACAATTTAAACATTTTATCCAATATATGTGACACGTAAATTTGCTTTGAATGAAACTTTTCGCGTAACGAAATAATTGCGCGGTTGTGCATGGATTCAAGTGAAATGACACTGTAGATAATCGACCCCTTTGATTAGACTCTACGGTAAGTTAACTGTTAATAGACAGAAAATAAGTTTTCTTTAAATTAAGATGCTGATTTTTCAGTTTGTTGTTTACAATAAATGCCTTGCTTCTGTTAGATGATCATAATTACTATAATGATCGATTAAGCATTTGTGTAAATAGTTGTCTACTACAAGATTTTCTCTATTAAAACATTATAAAGGTGCAAAAGTTATGTTTGAAATGGAGCGAATGATTGATGTGGTTATAGTTCAATGATTCACAGGCAACCTTGAGTTTTTTTTAGATAGCTATGAAATCTTTATGTAAGAAACGTAAATATCTCATATGGTAATGCTAACTTAATAATTAAGGTCAGTTTTATGTTTTGCATTCACGATGCTGTACTAAAAAGTATTATTGCCTGAACAATGAACATTAATGTAAACACGCTCTGTAGTAGCGAAAAAGTAGCAAGTGCTTGGAAAAATTTTTCAGTCCTGTTAGGTCCTGGGTAGCGCAGTGGTTAGAGCAGTCGCTCGTCGCTCGAAAGGTCATGGGTTCGAGTACCATCTTAGAGTGCCAGGGACAAAATGGCTTTATTAGGCATTTTTCATTAAAAATAATTAACTGGAATTATAAAAATAAAAAACGTAATTTTTATTTTCTTATTTATATATTATTTATTCTACTAGACTGATTTATAGATTTTTTTCAGTAATATCTACATACTCGTACATTCTCCTACAATATATTAATGATTATAAGCCTGAAATGACTAGTAAATGATAATTTTACTTATTTACATCGCTTGATTCACTAAAAGCATTCAGCTAATCGTTCCCCATAATTATGGATTCTTCGTTCATATTACTCATTGCTATTTTCTTTTTCAGTTCCGTTGGCATTTCGTTATTCTATTTTATCAATAGAAGAATGTTTCTCAAAGTTCCAGTCAATCATTATTCAATTTGTCTTTATACTAGCTCTCCCAAATGTCATTAATATTCGATCAGTTCTAGATGGATCTTACTTTGACTATTTCGATATTTTGCTAATAATTTTACAGTCTATTTAGTTTAGTTATTAATTTTATACTTATAACCTATTCACTTGTATATTTAATTTATTTAAGATATTAACTATGAATATCGAAGCTATTTTTATTTATTGTTAATGAAAAATGTTTAAAAAATCCACATTATCCCTGGTACTCTTAGATGGCATTGTTTATACTTTCCCCATCCCAGAGTGACAGGGAGAAGTGGATTTTATAAGAATTTTTCATTAAGAATATTTCCAGTATAGTATTGTGAATGCATGTAATAATTATTTTATTATATTTTTATACTTTTTTTCTTGTCTTGCTTTACTGTATTATGTCCTGTGTAGTTTGATTAATAAATATATTGTTGTCTCTGAAACGGCATACATAAAACTAACATAAGGGACTCATTAATATTTTCTAAGAAGGTCGAAAAAAGGAAAGTAGTCTTATATATGGTTTATTAGATACATTTTAAATTAATTTTGAACATTTTAAGACTCGTTTGCTATGTATCGGTAGGTTTTTTTATGATGAGCTTAAATTACATGCATTGCTTATAATTAATTGATTTTTGTCAGGCCATACAGTCCCCTTAATAGGGACAGGTCACAGGACGACATAAGGGGTAAATAATTTCATTCAGATAACATGGGGAGATATCAAGATGTTACTTTCTTTGTTTTTTAATATTATATTGAAAAAAAATAACAAAACCGACTTCAAAGAATCCTAATCTTAATGATATTGAAAGTATTTGTTTCAATATATATTATAACAACATTATAATTTAATTATTGAATTGTTACAAGAATCTTGTTCTTATTTATTTACTTTTTGATTATATTTTTATCGACTTCAAAAAAGGAGGTTATTAATTCGAGGTATATGTATGTAATTTCGTTGGAATGGCGTAATATTCATATATGTTGGTCTGTATGGGCTTCTAAACACATGTGCAAAATTTTATAGATGTAGGTATCTATATGTATGTTCGTAAGTTTGTCCACGGATATCTTGCAAATAAGACGTTAGATTGCAATGGTTTCTTTTTTGTTTATTTGCTTACATTTCAATTTAGGATACACTATAAGTTTTATTCAAATCGGTTCAGTACTTTTGAATTTTATTACTATTAAAATTTAAGTTACTTATAAAAGTACTAAAAATTAACCAACTTAGATAAGGAGTTAAAATTGATGACCTTATTTTTAACTTTAAAAAAAGGAGGCTGTCGGTTTACTTGTGTATGTAAGTACGTCATTAACCGAATTCAAAAAACTTTTATCGATTTGACGTGCATGTATACAATTTTGTTAGAACATGGCGCAATATTAACAATAAAAAAATAAACTGACATCTAAAAAATCATAGTAAAGACAAATGACTAATAAGAGATAAATAATACCACCAATTATTATCTTTAATAAAATCGAAACAAAAAAATGGATACACAAATAATTTTATTTAGGTGATTTTTTGAATCTCCAATTTTTATGTAATTTAAATTAGGGGAAATTTAAATATTTTTACATCATCTTGTCAAATTAATTTAAACTAAAAATTTTGTAAAAGTGTAAAATATTTCAAGAAACTTTTATTAAAGTTAGGCTATTGATAATAATAATCTACATTAAATCGTCACCTGATTTCAATAAAAGTCTCAAATTATTTTGCTTATTTACTAAGATTTTTGAGGCTGATTTTATTCAAAAAAGTCTTCATTTTTTTAATATTTAAACTCTTAGATATATTTTCAAAAAACCCATACACATTTAAAGTCTGTTAAAAATTATTTCAAGATAATGGTTTCAATAACTTAAGACTAAAAATATTAATATTTATTTATAATAATATAAAATGTATTGGATGTTTGTATTGGACATTATAGTTGTCTTTTATTGCAAATTTTAGATCAATTAAATGTTTTACAGAATATGATTTTTGTCTTCTTAAAATCTTTGTATGAATTTTAAGTACAAAAAAGTTTAATTTTCCGTAATAAGATTATATTGATCATACGGTTAGGTATAAATGCGGTGCATCGGAACTGAAATAGCTATACATCATTTAAGTATAATATTTATATTATAGGTATGATTTTTTTGAGAACAAAAATATTTGATGAACAAAGTGAAAAAATGAACAAAAGAGTTAATTACACTTACCGAAAAAAAAACGGGCAAATATTTTGTACAGAATATAAAATAAAGATTAAAACAATATTTACGAAATAAAACAAGAACTATTATGTTTAAAATCATCTGCCTGTTACTTATAAAGAATTCATTATGGAAAGAACATATTGTGTGACAAAAAATACTTTTAGTTGAACGGAACGTGGGTATGTGCCCGCTTGAAATTTTAAGTTTTAATTCACACATTCAAACTCATGAAAGAATTGCTTTATGAATTTTTCACCCATATAACAAAGAAAATTGCTACCGCCCTAATAGAGTCACTAATTTATTCTGCGCTCATAAAATAGGCTGTCGACTTTAAATTGCAGCGTAAAGAAAATATTCTAAAAGCTTTCAGTTTGTTTAGCTCTTATGAAATTGTGTTCTAATTTCCATTTTGCACATGGCAATGAATATAATATTAATTCAACAAAGACAGTCCTCGGAAATAAATAATTTTAAATATACAAAATAACTAAGAGAGATAAATTTAAAAAAGTACATATAGTCTATGATAAGCATTCTTTTGATATTGCTTAATTAAAATATCTGCTTAAATATTCTGTTAAAAATAGATACCCTCAATTGTTGTCGAACGCAGCGCTGTCATATCATACAGCATATATGAAATAAAACCTTCATTATCTTTTGAAGTGGGTTTTAGGTAAGAACTTTTAGTACAGTTTATACGAGTAGCATGTCATGTTATATAAATCTGTCAAATTTCCCACTTCATTAAATGCTTTGAGGATAGAGTTTAAAAACACGCGAAAATTATATATATTTCGGTATTTGACGTGTAGTCGTGTATAAATAGGGAAGTCAAAGTTAAGTAGGCATTTTTTTACGGTTACGGAGTAGAAAATAACTTGTTTTACAAATTGAACTTAAAAGCCCTTTTACTGTTTTCTTTATTTCTTTGTTTTACGTCGTAAATTAAAGCGACGTAAAATTAGTATTGCTTGTATACTATAATATATTAGAGTTACTGCCTTTGTTATTTTCACTATACATTAGGTAAATAAAAAATAATATGTGTTAAAAACAGCGACTCCAAGAAAGACTTTATTTTTTAGTTTTCTTACAGTTTTGTTTAATAGTTTTTAAGAAGCAAAATTATTGAAATGCTAAAGATAATTTTGTTTCTTTTATAGCATTTATTGAAATTTGAAAAAAGATTTGTAATGATTATGAGAATGTCAACAATTTGAAGGAGTAGAATTTTCTGTGGAAAAAGGGCTTTTTTTATTGATTTTTATGTATTGCAATTGAAAAAGGAACTAAAATGGGTGTACATATGTAATTAGAGGTTGAAAGGGGATCCGATATTTTAAAGGACACCTGTCCACCATTTTTCTTTATACCTATATAGTAGGTTCATGCAATTAATAACACATATTATTTGTAATATAAAAAATACATTGAAATCATTTATTTTTCTCAAAACCTGAATGTATTAATTTTCAAACATGATATTTTTAACATTTAATAATAACGTACATTCAACACAATGTTTTAAATAATTTTCATTTCTTATTAATCCTGGTAAACTCTAAACGAAATTCCGCCAAGACGTTATCGTAAAAACATTAGATTAGACAACGCAGTGCCGTAACTGCGTACGTTTCATTAAAAGTCACTAGATATAATTTACGAACTCGAATGTGCCACCAGGCAAAATAAACGTCAAATTTCAACAGTGACAATGCCCAAGATAATGCCGTTAAAAGAGATGGATTAACCCAGATCCCGACGCAACTTTGCGGGGGGACGCGCGTGATTAATGAATCTGGCGAAAGAAATATTCCCGGACAGATAAGTTGTCTGTCTGTCTTCGCTTAATTCTTTGATAGTTTCTAGAAAAAAACTTTTTTACGGGTTTTCATCTACATACGCTTATGTTTTCCTTGTTTTTTTGTGCCATGTTATTCTTATGACTGCAAATTAATATTTTGGCACATCGGATAAAATATTATAGAGCTGCAATAGATATAATTATAACTAAGTCCAAGAGGTTGCCATATCGGTGTGGATAAAGACCCACGAATAAGAAATAGAGGTAAATTATAAAAAAAACTTAGTAAAAGTTTCGTCTTATAATATAACATTATAAGGTTGACATCGCGTGAAACAGTTGTGAAATTAATTAAGAATATAAATATCATTTTTTCACATTCTAAACATCTCTTATTTTACAATTTCTAAATTGATTTAGAAGAAGTTATGTATTTAAATGGTCATAAAATTCATTTCGTGCTGCTTGAAATAAAATATGAGATTAAAGCTTGGTGCATCACTAGCTGAAGAGAAGTAATAGAGGTGTAAAGTACTAATTATGTTTTCACAAATTTTAAGTTGATAAAGATAAAACATTTGATTATGCTAAAGCAGTGGTTCTTAATCAAAGGTCCACGGAGCCAGATGGACACTGATGGTCCGCGTAAGTATCCTAACTGATTCGTGACGCCATCATGAGTGAGGAAAGAATATATAATCGCAAAAAAAATCTCAAAAGAATTAAAACAATGTGATCTTTGAATAATTCTATGTGTGTTTTATTTATTGATACTAATAATAGAATAATTCTATGTCTACATTTAGGTACTGCTTAATAAAACTAAATGATCATTAATTACTGGAACTTTAAGACCTATACTAAAGCATTTTATAGCGTACTGTCTCACTTCACTTCGAGAGAAGAAAGCACATTGTCTGCTAAACTACATTAGCGCCAACTGTTACGGGTCGTTGAGCTGCCTTTGATGAAGGATTTGTTCCTTGAAAGCCTTTTGTTATATTTTTCTAACACTCCAAAATTGGCGGTGAAGTGCCGTGAGTAACAGTAAATTGTAAGATATTCGACGTTATGTAAACTCTTTATTGTACGTTATTTTTGTCCATAAGATAAATTTAAAACATGATAAAGGTATACTTAGCATTATATGCTCTTTTTCTAATATAGTGCCCTTATCTGCATTTACCATCTTGTATTGTTTTAAATACTGTTTATTTTTAGTTTTTTTTTAAATCATATGTTATACTAACAACCTACTAAAACAATTCTTGAGTGCAATTTATTTACATGTGTTAAGATCCCAGTGTGCATAAATTTATCAATAATTTCAACTATCATCACCATTCTTCAACTAATTTTAATTAAACCTTTAATGAATTATACATAAACACACATATTATTTATTAAACTATACAAGTATAAACCATAAAGACAGATGGAAGTGGTGTGCAGATTTATAATGTGCGATGGTTATAGATAATTGTTATATACTCAGATAGATACAAAATGTCTTCCTTCCACAAAGGGCTTCCCCGATTTTTAGTAGGTGTTTCTTATTTTAGTGTTAGTACTCATAATAGTTTGCTAGTAGCTCAGTGGCGTAGTGAATAGGCGCCGCGGCCTACGATCGTTGATGTTAAGCAACTTTTACAAAGGTCTGTCACTGGATGGGTGACCAAAAAATTATTATCTCGAGCTACTCCATGCTTCGGAAGCAATGTTAAGCCGTTGCTCCCGGCTGTATTTGCAGTACTTAATTCTTGCTTATATGCGTTGGGTCAGCGTAGAGGGTCCATCATCCCTAACAATCTATTAAAAAGATCTGAGCTCCAGCATTGGGGAGGTAAACGGGCTGACAATGATGATGATAGTAGTCATACGCATGTTGCTTTATGCCTCGTTTGCATTCCCCTTCTCATATTCTATTCTATTATTATTCTATTTCTAACTTATTCCACACTTATTCTATTTCTATTTACTTTTATATATGTTATGTAGGTATTAACAATATCGTGTTGTTTTTTTTAACAGCATGACTGTTGTGAATAAAAAAGAAAGTTGTAATTTTAGTTTGATGTTTTTCTTTTTATGTTCGAAGAAATTTTTGTTCATTGGGTCTAGGAAACTGTGTAAACACGTTGACAAAACCAATTTACTGTCCATTTGGCAACGACTCAGAGAAACTTTTTGAGTTACTTACAAATTTCCTTTTATCTAAGGAATAATTAAATTTAGTGGTCGATGAACGCCATTGGAATTGTCAATAATAAATTATATTAGTAAATTTGATAAGATTTTTCATCCAACAGAGTCTGAAGTAAAATATGCTTTAAGTCAAATTGAGTCGAGCCAAAGTTTTGCTAAAAAGATCAGTTTAGGTGAAGCTCTGAAAGTTCGGGTAGTTGTGAATTGTCTGATGTTCATATTACATACAAAACGCTGCTTGCTTGTATGCGAGTTTGATCGACTTGATTTCCATTAGTTATCACAGACTTTCTTGTAATTTTAAGCGTGCATGATATTTCTAAGTCTCCAATTGAATATCATGCAGATATTTTAAAATATTATATAGTTAACTAGAAGACTTGCAAAATAAAGTGATTATAACATGGAAATATTATATATAAAAACACAAATTTTTCAAACAAAAGTGATAATAACTCGTTAACATTTTTTTTTATATTTCATTATAAATAAAACAAGAACATTTTATTATATCTATACCTACGTAAAATTGTAACTTTCAATAATAAATATGTTACCGTGTTAATCTTGTTTCATGTTAGTCAATGAGTTAAATGACAGTCTGTAGTGGTCTGTACTAAGTTTAGCAGGAGTTTTATTTAAATTAAAAATGAAGTCGCTATGTATATAACTAATATTGAAGTCGCGTGGGAATTGTACATAACATTTATAACGTCCTTTTTATTCTTCTTTTTTTGTTTTTTTTTTTATTCTTTCTTTAATTATGATTACGATACATTGAGATTCTATTATACATATATTCTATATTAAAAGTTTACGATTATTTAATGTGTGATCTTTGATTGAATTCTCATTAAAATCTTAGATCTTCTATCTACGAGGAAAACGGTATATACATAGTTCTTTGATGTAGTGAAATTAAGCGTGCATACTTACTATGTAATACAGACTATTGTAGTTCTTCCTACACAACGAGACACTGGACTAGATGTACCCATTGTCTGGGACTCTTTGAATTTTGATTTTTATGATCCCTTTGTACATGCGATAAGGCAAAGCGATTTAATTTTTCCAGTCTATTGTGTTCAAAGTTATTGGAATTGTGAACTCTCGGAAAGTTCATTCCGGTTTTGCTTGTAGTGACTTCAAGGAATGCTGCATAAAAGAAATGTTTATTTTTAATATTCTTCGAGCTAAGTTATAAGCAGTCGAGAGCAACAATAGCATGATGGACTTGTGTTATAGCATACTCTTTAGCTGTTATATAAAATAGTTATGACAGTATAATAAAAGCTATTGTACCTACATTTCCCGCAAAATTGCAAATCGTCTTATCTAAATATAGGGGTTTGTACGTAAATGAGAGACTATGTACTTTGTTCCAGGTGGCCGTTGTACGGAGTATCGCCGCTAAAAGAGTCCTGAATAATTCATCAGAATATTTAGTCCTTACTAAGCTTCGTTTATATGTTCCAACTTTACACATTGTAGATAAAATAATTTCTGAATCGATTCGACGCAGTAAGTTTTACGCAAAATCGATTTTACTTTCAATTTAATTAAAATGAGAATCGAAAAAAAGCCAATTTGATTGTGTGAAATGCTTTATCGATAAAAAAAACGTCGGCACTAATGGCAATTGACAATAAGAAAGGTCACAAAACATCAATAGAAACGCCAACACATTTAATTAACTTGCAAAAAAATGAACATAGTAAGCTTTTTAGATTTCAATAGGGTGATAGATGAATTGTTACTCGATGAAGATGCCAAATTAGGAAATAGTGAATTTAGTGAGAGTCTCGTGTGTTAGCATTTCAATGATGAAGTCTATGTTAGTCGGAGGGATTTTGACATCGTGGGCCGTACTAGTGACAGCCACGGGAGAATGGAGCGAAGATGCTGAGGACTTAGGTAAGTAAAATAAGTTTTTTATTATCAATTAGTCGTAGCTGTGCGATGGTATTAAAAGCTGTCCACACTGCTGCCAACGAGAGTTCAAACAAAGGTGATCTTGTTCAGATCTCACTCAGTTGTAATTCCTTTAGTTGGCAACACGCGTCCGTCGACCAACGGCGCGGCGTCGAAGATCATATTGAATTTGGTTTGCAACATCTGACCATATGCTTGTCAACAAGCAAGGTCACCTTGGTGGAAACCAAGGTCTGGACACTTATTTTACTATAACATATATTAATGTGGCATGGCAGATATGTTACTGCTTATTTTCGTTCAAAATTTTAGAGTTTAGTGTTTATTTGGGGTATTCTATCAAACACTATATTTACAAATTTGTAGGTTTGAACAGTATAACATAGTAGCATGTCTATTTATGAGAAAAAAAGAACTAATGTTACACATACGAAAATAAAAATATACCTGACTTATTTCATAGAAATGTCAACAAAATTAAAATTTAAAATTAATACGTACCTACGTAAACAATGTCTATTGAATAAGTCAAGTAAACATTAACTTTCTTTACAAATATTTGCATTCAAAATACTCGATTCAATGTATTCGCGATATTAAATTTGTATGAGGAAAAAATACAAAGGATATATTATTTTTCGTGACAACTTTTCTTAATATAAAATAAATTTAATATTACTTTAATATAAAATACATTAAAAGCTAAATTCGAAATAAACAATGGTGGGGACTATTTTATTTCAATACTATGTCTTTATCGAGTTCAAATAAACAACAGTTTAAAGAACAAATACGATAATTCTATAATTTTAAGAATAAAAATTTGTAGTCACGGTTAGACAAGGATAGAAAGATACGTCTATGATACCATAACCTAGTGTATGGTAAGCATCGCACAAGAGCGATTACGACAAGAAGCGTTCCCACTCCAACCGTCAACTAAATCACATAACGTAAAAGCAAAGTATAGACTTTCTAATCTCATATTATAATAAAATAAAATATTTTTGCTCTTTTTATTTAATATTAATTCAAAAGAGCAAAGAGAGTAGAGTTCTACTGACGATCATGTTTCAGTTCTTTTAAGAACACCTCGATATCTTCGAAAATATCCAATATAGCCCAGGGAAATTAGTTGTAGAAGAAACATTATTTATAATGCAATGAATTAAACTATATTTTAATATTATTTTGCTTTTTTACTATTCTAAAACACCTCAATTACTTTTATGAAGTATTCCTTTCTAGCCCATCAGTTTATTAAATCAACAGAATTATTTTCTACCCTTCAGCTTTTCCCAATTCCCTTAAAGGTCTTGAAATTGAGATTATTTGAAAGTTATGGCTAGACTGATTTTTTTTAATGCATGTTAAATATTTCTTTTTATCAAATGGCACTTATCTCTTGTTTAGACGAGATGTTTGTCTACTTTAAACAAGAAGAGTCTAAATTACTAATTCTTAATAATACTCTGTTTATTACTAATACTTGTATCAATGTTAGGAATACACTTTTACAAAATCTGGCATTTGTTGAAATCTAGCACCTATAAATACTATGATTTCCGATATGTCTGACATTTACTAAATATAGTAAAGGGTATGTATGATTTCTATTTTTTTCACATACACATTAATATTCTTTGTTTCACAATTACTATAAATATTGAAACAATTTCAGATTTACGTTAAATGTTGCTGATTTATTTATATTCTTACTAACGTTGTATTACGTACGTGACGTCAAGGCAATTTAGTACATGTTTTAATATAGGACTTTCATAAGAGTAAATAATATGTCTTAATAAGATTCACCGTCAGCCGCACAAAAGTTCATTAAAATTGCTATTAGTTTAAAGCGACATTATCCATACAAATTTGACATTCATTAGAGCTTAAAGTTGTCATTAACTGCTAATGGACGTTAGTGGAACTGACCATAAGTGTAAATAAAAAAAAAAATTAGTTGTGATGAATTACATTAACACTATTTAGACCAAACTCTTAATAGTGTTACTAATAAAACAAGGTTTAGCGTTGAAGTAAATTTACGCTGAGTCTGCACTTAGTATTAGTCAAAATTCATATTATCAAACAAAGACTTGACAAAGGTTAACCTAGTACGAGGTTCTACGGGAGTAATATTAATAAGAAAGTAGTAGGTTTGCTTATTCTCTGTATAATATTAATTTGGACTAATACTAAAATTGCAATTTTATTAATAGCACTGTAAAAGTACAATGTTTAAATTTTGCTCTTTTTTAATGTGTACTACGTCATAATAAACATTTTGAGTTTGGTGATAACCAAAACCTATCCATCGGGTAGATTTGTATTGGGGGCTTAAGAGATTAAGGGTTGGTCGTGATTTATAGGCGACGCAAGATAGGTCGAAGGTATATTAATACATATACATTACTGTAGGTACGTAATCGAAAACATGTGACAAATTGTAGGCGAAGCTTCCTAGAATAAAATTGCACCTTTTTTTATATTTACACTGGTGTTTTAGATTAGGGTAGCTACCTATAAAGCAATATTGATAAGTTTAGAATGGTTTTGAATTCAATTTTCTTAATTTTTGCTATATCTATGTTTTATCATTACATTTATCCCACCCAAAATATAAAATTATGAATCTAATGTTACACACTGCTGTGGTTTTTGATTTCAAAGATAAAACAAGTGAGATGCCGAAATGGGTGCAGAGTACAATGGTTAGCCCTGAAATTTATTAATAACATAAAATATCGGTTCCGTCTTATACATTAGTATAATGTACATAGTGAAGCGTAAAGCCTGAATTGACTTGTTTCATTTGACAAATGGTTTTTGAGATATGAATGGGTCAAAATAATATAACATTACACAAGGTGCTTCTCGCCAGTTCTATTAGCTTGAACTTGCTTGACAAGCTCCCGCATGTCTAGATAAAGGTATTTTTAATGATGTGAATTTGGTTTTATTTTGTTAGACTTCACAAGGGATTTGATGTGAAAAATAAAAGTTGAATAGCCTATTTATTAAATATTAGTTTTCCGCCAGCGCCCGGGTAGTCTTGTATTATACATAAAAAAAGACTTTCTCGTTTTAACATTAAAATCCGTTGTATAGTTTAAACGAACTCAACGTACAGACAGCGGGAAGCAACTATGTATTATTCTATATTCTATGTATAGATGAGCAAAACTAAAAGCAAAAGAGGCGTTATTACTGACTATAATAAATCGAGTTCCTTCCGAAACAATGGATTCTCGTGATACAGTATAACATAATTACGTCATTGAGTTCTATTCAAACTTTTGCTATTCAAATTGGGCACGTTCCTTGTGGAGATCACTTGGAGCATGTGTTCTGTTCCTGTTATCCCGTATACTTCCGAATATGCACTGCTGCACATCACAAACAGAAGATATCTGATTGTACGCACACCTGCACGGAATTCGTAAACGTTCCTCGGTTACGACACGAAAGCTAAACAATTTTGCATTTTTATTTGAAGCTAGACTATTTGTGGAAAGTTTGAGTGTTCGAATTTTGAAACAGAGCAATTTCTGATCGCGTTGCCTTCCTATTTCTGTGTTTCGACCTGGGCTCAAGTGAAGTAAACTGGCATGAAGCAAGCTGGCGTGATGCCAGACAATTTCTTTTGTCTTCACGAATATCACTTGAAGTAGCATCAATATGTATATTTCGATTAAAGTGGCATTAACTATTAACTTTATTATATACGGTCAGTTATGGATGGCCGGTGGTAGTTGTTGTATTAGCCTACAAAAATTACTTATGCTAAGTGAGTGATAAGATAAAATGAAATCAAAATATCATGATGAAAATATTAATAGCCAAGAGACCAGAATTCAATTGGCAAACAAAGACAGTCAAGTGAATTATATTGGAAAAAATAAATTATTACACATAAATCAGGATTGCGCTTAGTGTGATGTTCCAAATTTGTCTCAATCATATTTCTTCTATTTTACACAACTAACAAATTTATGTTGGTAATTTTCAATGGAATTTGAACAAAAATTTTCTTTTTGCTTCTCCAAATACATTTTGTAAGTTTGCTGAGAGCTATTGTTAACTTTGAAAGTCTACTTTTTTAGTCGTTGACTTGTTAAATTTACTTATTGGAGGGAGTACTGACATAAGACTCGACTATACAGGGGAGACAGAGACGTTTTGAAATAAAGGTGATTTTGAACAGTATACTAGAAATTTTGAACCTCGTTTTTTTATTTATTTTATTTATTTTATTCTTTATGCACAATCGTACAAAGGCGGACTTAATGCCTTAGGCATTCTCTGCCAGTCAACCTTTAGGTGATGTGGAGATTAAAATAAAGGATAAAAGTAGGTGCATATGTTATCTTTGAGAGAAAAAAATAATATAAAATAAGCATAACACAAACATACATACTATATATAACATAGTACATAAATAATATAATAAAAATAAATACAATACATACTTATAAATACTATGCCTAGTAGAAATGAGATAGCAATTTTTATGATTCTGCCTGATCTAATATTAAATTGCGCAACTTGGATTTAAAAGCAAACCGACTGGCGGACATTCTAATGTCTGTGGGGAGTGCATTCCATAGGATAATGGCTTTAACGAAAAAGGAAGAGTGGATGATGTCAGAGTGATGAGCAGGACACATAAGTAGTCTATTAGAAGAAGATCGAAGGTCTTTTGTATGACTCGTACATAAGTACTGAAAGTGTGGAGTGAGGTAGCTTGGAGCGTTAGGTGATTGCAACAAAGAAAACAGGGTTGTTAGAGCACGGACATCTCTACGCTTTCGAATAGGCATCCATTTCAAAAGGGAGCGATGGGCAGACACGTGGTCGTATTTACGGAGATTGAAAACGAATCGAATGCAGTTGTTTAAAACACGGTCAAGTTTATTGAGTAGATCTGCATTCAGGTCGAGGTAACACACATCACCATAGTCGATTATGGGGAAAAT